ATACATCTTTCTGTGTATAGTGCTTGTAACTTTACGAAGAATGGGCCAAATTTCTTATCATTTTGATGATTCCAGAACCTTGCAGATGCTAGATGCTAGATGATCAACCTTTTCTGATCGATTCCACAACGTTTCTTTCACAATGCAATCGCATGACCATAACTGGTCTTTACCTTTAAAACAAGTTTTTCTACGTTGTGACAGTGACTGGCCAGCATAATGATGTACCATAAACTGTCTCCATCTGAGCATCTCGACAATGTTGAATGAAAATCGTCTCACTACTTTAGATACACACAAAAAATGTAAATACATATATACAAATTGAAGAATGGCCAAAGAGATACATGCAACATTTGTCTCTCTATTGCTATGCTACGCAGGTTTTAAATATAAAAACCACTCCACCATTGTCTGTCTTGAGCAATTCCTTCATCTTTCAGTATGTATCATGAGCTTCGATACTATCCAACATCATAATTATTTTCCTTCCCTCGGTCTTCTTCCTCCCAACCCTCCCTCAATGATATATCTTGATCAGGAGTCTGTAATACCGTAGAATATGCCCAATCCATTTCTTCTGTCTCTACTTCCAATTCGTTACAGGCTTTTGCTCCTCCCCCACTCTTTTGTGAGACTTGATTCATTTTGTTATCGACCCAACCCATTTTTGCCGTGCCATGCATTTCCCCCCGCAGCCACATTTCAGAACTCTCCAACAAAACCAGCTTACACTTGTTTTAATATTTTGATAGTCCTAATATTGAACTAAATGTATGTACATAAAAGTAGTTGGTTTAATCTTTACTTAATATGATGGGAAAAAAAGGTAAGTGAATATTTGTTAGGTAATATTTAATGCATGTACCAAAGTTGATGACAATTTACCCAATGTTGGGTAAAATTATACCAAACAAACATATACATGTATGTTCCCTTTTTACCCAACACAGGTAAAATTTCAGCCAACTCTTTTCAGAATGTTCTCTTCAATTTCAACAGTTGATGGAAAATGTCCTATAATGGTTTTTTTTCTCCCTAGAATAGAAATAACGAAACATGCAACTATTTTTCATCATTATTTTCAAACTTCCCAACAACCGCCCCTGGTCTGACGGTGCCCTAGAAATGTTAATGATTCATCGTAGAGGGATCCAGACTAACTCGGTATCAGGAACGGTTAGACCGACCCGATGGAAGAGAAAGTTTTACCATAAAACCATCCGATGGCGATGCTCTCGAAGAAACATATCCAAATGAGAGGAAAGATACCAGACCCATAGCCCTCAAAGAGCCCCCAGACGTAGTCATCATTATCCTGAAAGTTAATCAATAATAGTAATAAAAGATATTGATCATCATAATCATAGTTATAATGATGATAATAATGATAATAGTAACAATAATTATATAATTATGATAATAATAAAAATAATAAAAACAACAATAATGATAATAATATTGATAACATTACTTCTACTACTTCTACTATACTAATAATGATAATAATATTAGTGACTATAGTAACAATCAAAATAAAAATATTGATAATAATTATAATACTCGTTTCATTCATAGCACTATATCGAATCGATGATCATAACATCAAAACTCTTTAAAACTAGATGGATCTTCGACTGTGCGCAGTCGAAAATGATGCCTCCGCCATAGAGAGACTTTACAAACCAAAACAGAAGCAATTTTAAAAATTCAAGTCTAATTGAGTGTAATCCATTAACAGGTTCTCAGAATATCGTGATTACCAGCCATTTTTCATATACATGGCTCTGCAAAATACATACATGTCCTGAGTTTGATAGTAATCCATCTGTCGGTTCTATAATGATAATGCATTCACGAGCTATTTTGCACACATGAGCCCCATGACATTTGACCTTTGACCTTATGACCCTAAAATCTTATCAGTTCATTGGCTCTGCGAGATACATACATGGCTTAAGTTTGGCGGGAATTCATCAATTGGTTCACGAGAACGGGACGGGCAGACGTACGGACGGACGGACAACCCGAAAGCATAATGCCTCCGGCTACTTTGTTGCGGAGGCATACAAATACAATGTAAACATTAAACAGTCAACTACAATAATATTTATAGTCATGTAAATATGTTTCAAGATACTTCTTGAACGATTTAACAGAGGAACGGGAACTGTGTCAAATCCGATTTCAAGTTGGAAATGAGAGAGACAGATTAATGAACGTCTGACGAAAATCTGACACCCACCCCCCCCCCCCCCAAGAAGGAAGTTATATATTTTATACGTTGTCATCAATTGAAAGCAAATTGGCAAATCCGTAACATACCTTTTGAGGACCTTTCCCATTTGCTCTGTACTACTAACAGATACTAATGTAACGTCTGCTCAGAGCCAGATTGCCGTTTAATCTGTTTTAAAGTTCACGAATTAACTTCTTCAGTCTGTGGATCCCATGGTGCGCAGTCCTAGTGCTCCAGCGGTACTAAAGTCCTTTACAAGACATTAATCTATTACCTGGTATGCCACTTTCCATCTAGGTGCTAAATAGTAACTGGTCGGAATTAGGAGCTCCTTGACCTTAAATACTGTGCGCATCAAAATCGGTAGCCCTCCCACAACTGTTTTTTTTACACAACTGTTTAGCCATTTTCGCGAAAAAAATCCAAGAAGTGCTCTGGTGAAAGAGTCTAAGTCGTCAGCGCACTATGTGCAAGCACATACACCCAGTGAAGGGAAAATGATAGCAAGGGGAAAACAAGGATAGTGGAGAGGATATGGAGAAGGAAAAACAAGGAAATACATAAGGAAAGAGAAGAGGATAAGTCAAAGGAAGAGCATAGAAATACATAATTGAAGAGCCAAGAGGATCACCATCTAGACTAAGGCAAAACAGGGAAATACATAATGAAGGATTAATTAGGGATCATCTATCAAATTAAAACAAATAAATAGATGAAGAAGGGGAAAAGGATAGATTGAGGGAGAAACAAAGAATACATAAAACAAAAGAGAAGAGGTTACAATGAAGAAGAACAAAAGAATGACATAACGAAGGAGAACTGGGGGATAGATTGTGGAAAAACAAAGAAATGTATAACGAAGGAGAAAAAGGATAGATTGAAGGGGAAAAAAAGAAATACATGACAAAAGAGAAGAGGATAGATTGAAGGAGAACGCAGAAATACATAATGAAAGAGAAGAGAGGATAGATTTAACCCGAAACAGAGTATGTACACATGTACATGTGCAGCTCCAGCAACACTGCTAAGGGTAATGCTAGACTCTGTCTCTAGTCGTTTGCACAGTATATTTGACTGAAGTGGCTAAACAGTTGTGTAAAAAAAATATGCGCAGTCGGGGTAATGTTAAGGCGCCTTGAGCGCCGTGCATGGTGGATATGTGCCCTATGAAATTATCCAATAAAGTTTATCATTGGTAGTATTATGTTTCCATTAACTCATTTACTAGACCCCGAAATGTTTCATTTAATTTAATTTCAACTACACATGACGACAGTCTTACCTTAGTTACCATACTAAGGCCAATCAGGAAGTTGACCACGCAGACTCCAAATAAGAATATCTCTTTATGATACCCTATCCGCAGCCAGGGAGGGAAAAGATCCAAGACAGACGTGATGAACGCCTTCACCATGACGAGCTAACGTAGAAAACGGAGGATAACAATACAAACAAATTAGTGCATGAAATGGGGAGTTGTTGGTTGTGTGTTTAGGGAGAAATGATAAGCTAAGCTTTATCATCCACCGTCTTTTGCCGACATTATCAAAGTATCAAAATATTACTTGATTTGAGCGCAAGTTGTAATGTTTTTTTTTTCTCCAAACAAGTTTTAAAGTTTTCAAACGTTGAAAGGAATGACAAGGCTGATAGGTTTGAAAAATGGTTGAAAAGGTTGTGAAGGTGGAAAAGCAGATGGAAAGTTTAAAAACGGTTTAAAGGTTCAAAGAGTTGAGAAAAGGTGAACAGATTAAAAGGGTTGAAAAAGGTCTAACAGAATTGAAAATGTTGTAGAAGTGTAAAGAAGCTGAGAAAAGAGTTGACCTTTCTAGCCAGTACAGACTTTACAAGGTTTACACTGTTGTAAAGGTTGAAAAACGTTATAAAAGAAGTTATAAAGTTCTAAAAGGCGGAATGGGAAATTAATCTAGGTCTAACTACTAAGATTAAGATTGCATGTAAATCAATTGCAATCTACATATACAGATTTTGGATCATGTCAGTTAACACTAATTAAGACATAGAATTCCATTTTGGTTCAACTCAATAATGCTAAAAGCTGCTAATGGTGCAAATGATTTATTTAAAAAAAAAAAATTAAAAACATCGAACAATTAAGGAATGGGTATGATAATCCACTATGTCAGTAATGTAACCCTTTCGTAGATACTTACTGATCCAAAGGGGTCAATGCGGTCCAGACCCCTCATTCTTTTTCTTGTCAGAGATTTTAAACTTAAAGGGATCGTTTAACAATGTTAAATCTGAGATACACGGCCCTACGTGTTATCAGTGTCTGTGATATGGTGTAATATTGAAGCCCTAAAAAAATTGCGCTTCAAAATGATCAAGAAGTGCCTCAAAAAAGTAAAAATCTTTGAGTGACCGGTTTTACCATACTCGTTTTCCCCAATAGACTGTAGTGTTATGAAAACCGTCAGGCGAACGGTTTTCAAAATTTGTAATTTCAATCATAAATATGTTGATAATCAGACAGGCGATCGGCTTGTAGAAGTCATGGGGTTCCTGACTGACCTAAAGGTTTATAATTATCATTGCATCATGAGCTAAATCCAGAATTTTATTTCAGAATCTGAGACAAAGTTACCGGATCCCTTTACCGTTTGTTACACATCCTTATAGACAATTATGTCATGATTTTTATTCATTGCTTGTCTCTTGACACTCTTGGTAAGAATAAAAAGGGCACTTAAGACAATCTGCTGATTTTGATGCCTCTATCCCACTTTCTCAAAGTCCTTTATCCTTCCCCGATTACCTGGAAGTTTAGTCCAATCTGTAGGACCGCTAGGAAAAAGAAAATAGACCAGACCCTTGGTACAGGCAATGCAGCAAAAGCACGCGTAAAGATGTCGAAAAATAGACCAGGACCTAAAGTAATCAAACAAAATGAGATGGAAGAAAATGAATGATTTGACTAAATAAGTTTTAACAAGGGTGGCGATACGAAATGTTAAGTACGCAGGTTCTTGTATGGTTTGTTTCATTGAAACGCTCTTATTAAAAAGTAGAACAATTATGAACATTTCCTTGTGTTATAAGAAACCTCCTCATGAGCAAATATAAATTTGATGTTTTTTGGGGTACCCCAAGAGTGAATGGTGGCTGGTTGAATTAAGGCCTTCGTTAAATACTTTTTGATGTAAGATTTAATATATCACATTCTCAATAAACGTAAATCAAGACAAATCTATTTTTCACATACTTATACAATTCAAAAACTTGGTAACAGTATGAATAATTTAGTTATTAACTGCATACACCCAATAAGCCGGTAGCTGATTTATACAACCTTTCTGATAAACACTGATGGATGGGGGTTGGAAGGGGGGGGGAGTAAATCAAAGTAAGTACCCAAAAGTCGAGGAATGATAGTGTTAGGGGTAAGGGTAGAGGATAGGAGGAGGTGTAGCCTGCAACCCCAATTTCCCCACCAGTAGTCCAGTGGTGATAGGGTAAGGGGTTAAGGTTAGAGGACGGGAGGGGTGTATAGCCCTCAACCCCTCGAGCAACCGCACCAGTAGGACAGCGATAGGGTTCTGTTTAAGGTCAGAGGGTGGGAAGAGTGTAGCCCTTAAGGGTGGTGCTGGGGAAGGAGTTAAGGTTAGAGGGTGAGAATTGTGTAGCCATCAACCCCTCCCACCAACCAGTAGGCCATTGGTGGAAGGTTTAAGGTTATGGTTAGAGGATGGGAGGGGTGTAGCTTTCAACCCCTTCTTCCCACCAGTAGTCCAGTGGTGCTAGGGTAAGGGTTAGGGTTACAGGATTGGAGGGGTGTATAGCCCTCAACCCTCCATCAACCCCACCAGTAGGACAGTGGTCCTCGGGTTAGGGGTAAGGGGTGGGAGGAATGTAGCCTGCAATCCCTTTTGCCCTCTAGAAGGCCATTGGGGATAGTGTTAGGGTTAAGGTTAGAGGATGGGAGGGGTGTAGCCTGAAACCCCTTCTTCCCACCAGTAGTCCAGTGGTGCTAGGGTAATGCTAGAGGATGGAAGGGTGTAGCTCTCAACCCTTCTCTCCACCAGAAGGCCCTTGGTGCTAAGGAAGGGGTTTGGTCAGAGGGTGGAGGGGTGAAGGCAGCCCTTAACCCCTATTCCTCACCAGTGGTACTAGGGTTAGGGTTAGTGTCAAAGAGTGCGTGTAGCCCCCCCCCCCCCCATGACCTAGTACTAGTGGTTCTAATACTACTCTTAGTCTTACCGAAACCTTCTCTCATTATCTCATTAATGGAAATTCTCTCAGTGTACGCTACGTAGCCGACGAATGAAAAGACGATGATGCCACTGTAGATACTCGTAACCACATTTAAAAAGGCTATGATCATGCTATCCCTAGAGACAATCAAAACAAAAAGGAAAAAAATAGCCTTAAACATAAGATGAGTAATGGTCATACAAGTTCATTGTGAAAGAAACAATCTACATGTAGAAGCATCTGGGAAAGGGTGATTATGGAGTATATGAGAATAGATGTTTATAATAAACATACTTAGATGCTTCGTTATAAACACAATCTGTAGCAGATCTAGGGTTGGACGGAGGTGGGGGGGGGGGGGGTTGAGTCCCCATTTCTTCATGGCTCCCCCCCCCCCCAAAAAAAAAAAAAAAAAAAAAAAATCGAAATTAATTAGGTGTAAAAATAAACACATGCTGAATAAATAGTCCGGAGAGGCGAAGACTCATACAATTCAGTTTAAAATTATATATACATATCAGAATATAAGAAATCAGTACTTTTAGCAATCTTCATATCAATTACTTATTATAATTAACTAAACAACTAATATCAAATAAGCGTAAAATAAAACATGTTGTAATTATTCAGTTATCACATTTAGTTAACTATGCTGTCACCATTTTCTAAATGTCATATTCATACACTTTCAAATTAATAAGTAATCATTTTGTAACCTGGTTCACATTTTGTGTAGGAACATATTTCTATATGGGTGATTATTTCAAGAAATATAATACAAAATAATAAAAGTATGATAAATTAAAGAGTAGTCCGATCAGTATACTATGAGATCTGGTTAAATCTAGTTAATACACCAGTTTACGGTTACAACGTTACAATTACAGTGCGCACGCGCGGACATGGGCGTCATTTTGATTTACGAGTAAACAAACCATTGACCTCTAGAGGTCAGTGGTTTACGCGTAATTAAGATAGCGCCGATGCAAATATGAAGTGAGCGCATAATCGGTATTTTCACGATGACTGGTAATTCCGGGTAAAAATAGTGAAGTTTAAGTGAAGAATAACATGTTTAAAACTAATGGTCGTTTAAAGAGGTAAAGTGCTTGCCATTCAATTAAACTCTTGAAAACGTATCGTTGATCGAGTGTTTCCAAGTTTGCCATAGTGCCCGTTTTTCTTTTCTTACGACGAGAAGAGAATATTACACGCAAGTGTTTATGTACCAACCTATAGGAATTGTAGTGGAATTTGTTGTAGCTTCCAAGGGCTGTGAAAGCACCTAGTCCAATCGAGAAGGAATAGAAAACTTCTGTTCCAGCGGCTATCCACACCTTTACGGACCAATCAAAGAAAACAAAAGTTTATACAACGTGAAATGCCTGTCCAAAGTGGACGGAAACCAAAACACAAGAACGAAGACTAAAAACAACAAGAACAACAAAACAAACAAAAAACAATAACAAAACAATAAAAACAGACAAAATAAGCAACAACACAAATATCATATCCTTCAATTAAATGATATAATTATTTTGCCTTGTAAATTCAGACATTTCACAGTGTTACTTGTGTTAAACTTAACAAATATTGGACTGACTAGTTTGACGACCAAGAAAAATATACAGTTTACAAGATTATATCCACACAAAAAGAAAAAGCAATGTGTATGCGAAATGTTGTGGCTTTTATGCACATTAACCATTTCCCAGAGGGTTTAGTAGATTCATAATTGCTCAAGAATCACCTTATATAATTTAAAGAGCATGATCTCTCGCATTTATCCCGATGTAAACAATTCATCTATCTATGTGTGTGTGAGTGTGTGCGTGTTTGCGTGTGAGTGATATTCATGTATATAAGTAAAAAAAACAAACAAGATATATGCCTCCGCCCTAAATTCAGTATAGGAATGGATGACATTATATTATTCATATAGTAATACTGTCACCATGTTTAGATACTGCGATATCAAGGCTAAAAACCTTTAAGTTAAGAAAGTGACCTCTGTGGCCTTTGACCTACCTACCTTAAATCTAATGAGATTGTCTTCCTATATGATGATACATACTATCACTCAGTTCGAACTCCATATCTCTAGTGGTTCTTGAAATATCGCAATAGCAAGGCTAAATCTGTATTTTCAGAAATTAACCTGTGACTTTTGACCTTTGACCTATGTTTCCGATATCTAATCAGACCATCGTCCTATGTTGATACATGCTATCATCAAGTTTGAGCCTCATTATCTCTAGTGGTTCTTGAGATATCTCGATAATGAAAAAGCGGGACGTACGGACCACCATCGGTGGGCGGAGGCATTAAAAATGAAACCTAGATAAGACAACTTAAAAGATGACAATTTTAACCCTTGTTAAATAATTACATGACATAGAGGGGGGGGGGGGGGGTGTTTCACAAAGCCTAAGATCGACTTTAAGTTGGACCTAACTATGGCAGGCCGTTCATACCATTGGTTACTCTCACCATTGGTCTCTCAATTATGAACTTTGGATAATATTTTTTCAAAAAAGGTAAATTCTGTAGATTTGTGACCATGATTTGTAAGGCCCTTGAGAGACTAATGCCAGTAAATGGTGAGAGCAAACAGTAGAATGAACGGCCTGCCATAGTTAAGTCCAACTTAAAGTCGATCTTAGTCTTTGAGTCTTAAGGAATACGGGGACCCATTTCACAAAGCCTTTTTGCAATGACAAATTACAAAAATCAGTGACATATCTGCTGATAACCAATCAGAAGCAAGGATTTCATTAGCTTATACAAAAAACAAAAAACCGTCATGTGTCACTGATGACAAGTTTTGTGAAACGGGGCCCGGGTCCTTGTATTATTATAGAGACAACACGATAGGAAATACTTTCGCGAAATCAACAGATGCAATGTATTATACAATATTTGTAGACCGTATACCTCTGCACTTTTAATTTCAGATAAGTCGGGTTTGAGATAAAAAATCAAACCATCATATGCTCCTGGTAAAGTAATCCCACGTATCATAAGCACGGTGAATACAAGGTGTATGAAGGGAACAGTGAAATAAGCCAACTGCAAAGTAAATTTATATAATGAGAATAATTAAACAGTTTAAATTAGTTTAGTTGGGTTTATTACAAAAATAGACAATGTAGCAAAGATTAACTGTTCACTGTTTCAATGTAAATGGTGTCATAAAGTGGGAACATCTATTAACAAAATTTAAAAAAGATAAGATGGAGGAAAATTTAATTTCGAATCTAAATCACACGTTAAAGAATGATCATCGGAAATAAAATTAGAAAAACAGAACAAATAGAAATCATATACAAAATATTCCTCGGATTTATTGGTTGAATTATGAATCGAGTGCACCTTGTAAAATTAATGTAGTGTTTTTAATCTATTTACAGTAGTTTAATCACAATTAGCCTAGCTTAAATGTTTATGATCACAGCCGAAAACAAAACGGAAATGCTAAATCATGATAAGTGAATGAAGCAAATGGATGCGTAGAGCGGGGTGTCTACTGTCTAGCTCATAGTTTGACAGACATATTCGCTGTATAAGAACTCACTGTGATTGTTGTAGAAGTTGTTGTTATTATTATTGTTGTTTTTATTATCATTACTAATAAATTTATTGTCATCTTCATCATCATTCTCACTATTTTTATTATGATTATTATTATTGCTATTATTATTATGTTTATCATTATTGCTATAATCATTATTAGCACATTCACAATCAACATCATCATCATTATTACAATTACAAGGACTGGATTTCCTAAGGCTGTATACAAATCATTGCAATTTCATAATTTTGGGAGGTGGCTGTGTCGTCATAAAAAATATAAACCAATAAACAAACAAACAAAAAGATTTGAATTACCTTGCCGCTCCATTTAACTCCCTTCCATAGGCCAAAGTATACGAGCGTCCATGTGAGAAACAGGGTTAGGGCAAGATGCCCGACAATACCTCTTTCGCCCGTCCCTGTTTGGCCTAACACCTTGATTCTAGGAAATGAAAATGACAACTGATAAAACTAGAGTCCATTTTTCATTTCATTTCTTCTTCATCCACCATAAAAAAAAGGCACATCTAGAAGACACAAAATTGACTGGCCGGAATGCTCCTCAGGGAGTGGAGAATGTGCATACATTGTGTGCGTTAAGCTCGAAGCCGATGACTGGGGTAATAATATATATGTAAAGCGCTTAGAGACATCATCGATCTATCAAGCGCTATATACGTGCGGAATATTATTTGTATTATTATTATTATTATATACAAGAAACAAAAATGATAAATAAAGAATATACAGAAACAAATGTGGTTTAAAAAGCACACATACGAATACTCAGAGCAATGATCAACAAATATTATAGTATTATACTAATTATTATACATACAAGAAAGGCAAAGTGTAAAAAGTAGTGGGTTAAAATCAGAGTGAAAATCATAATATTCACTTATTTCCTGACACTCCTATATTTACTATAAGAACTACGGTTTTGTCCTCAGAGCACACTAATTGACAGAACACGGAACATAATAAAGAATTATCCTGTAAGTGAGAGAGAGAGAGAGAGAGAGAGACAAAGAGAGATAGACAAAGAGACACAAATATAAATAGAGACAGCAAGATAGATATAGGGGTATATAGAGATATATATACACATGTATGGTAAACAAAAAGAGAGTGTCGAGATGGGAAAAGTTAACAATTACTACATTAGTTTGTGGTACCAATGAGGCTGTATGGTGACATATAGTTCAATTTCCCATATTTTTCTGCTACAGCCTGCAACAGACTACCCAGCCATAGAACCGCATGTGGCTTTAGAAAAATAAGTTGACTTGATTCATTTTTAAATTTAGTTTTAACTTTCTGTATTTAATTTCAAATGAGGGACAGTAGCGGTTCAAGAGAGGGGCTAAGGGGACCCGTCTTTCCTCCAAGCCCCCCCCCCCTCCCCCCAAAAAAATAATTATCGATTATAAATGAATTTAAGCAAGGCACATGTAAAAATTGAATGCAAAAACTCCAAGCTCCCTCCCTCTTATTCTTCTAGAGCCTCGCCTGATGAGGGATATACAGTGCGACCCAGAAAAAATGAAACCGAGAATTATCGATGTTTTATCATAACTTAATCACGATTATAATTGATAAATGACACATATTTGTAAGGCTTAGATCCTCCTCTTTCATTCGATGCCATTCATATGATGCATATTTCACGCATGAGTGATTGAAAGCAATTTGAAGGAAGGAAACCAAAAATCATTGGCGGGCGGTTTCTGAATTTCGAAGAAAAATTCAGATTTCTAAAAGGTTGAGTTTCTGCCCTTTCATATGACACCTCAGTCAGGAAAAATGAGCTAGGAATAACAAAGTTCTGTTCGTTTAAAGTAGTGCTTGCATTTCCATAATTTTATTAAACGAATTCGTTTTCACTGGCTGCCTGCCGTAGCAACAAACGGAATCAACAAAAATCTTAACTCCGTTTCGTTGACAATCAACCGTAGACGAAAGACTTCATGCATGGCTGATTGTCAACGAAATGGAGTTAAGTCTTTTGTCAATTCCGTTTGTTGCTACGGCAGGCAACCAGTGAAAACGAATTCGTTTGATAAAATTATGGAAATACAAGCACTACTTTAAACAAACAGAACTTTGTCATTCTTTGCTCATTTTTCCTGATTGAGGTGTCATATGAAATATGAATATAATTATTGATGGCTCTATTGATTCGTACTATGAGTTTTAAAATCATCATTATTATCATCATCATCATCATCATCATTATCATTATCATCATCATCATCATCATTATTATCATCATCATTATCATCATCATTATTAACATTATCATGAAACTTACTTCCAGAACTCCTTCGCCGGCTTGGTTGTTAATGGGTAATTACCACATTGGTCAGAGTCATCTAAGGGCACTGCTTCATTCCAACTGTTCCAAAATGTGGCTGGTGATTCCTCCGGTGGAGTAGGCCTATCCCACTTATCGAAGGGAATATAGGTTCCGTTAATGCACACCCATTCAGACTGGAATTAAAAGTTGATGATACTATTATTATTATTATCAGTATTATTACTATTAACATTATTATCAATTTATCATCATTATCGTGATCGCAACTAATTTAGAGAAAACAACCTAGGACAATTTCAATGGCCTTGTACATCGTCTTTTAAAGGGATAGTTGAGTTCTGTTGCAGAGGGCGACGCACAAGGTGAGATAATGAAAAACTAAGTGTCGAGTTTGGAAGAATGATACAATTTAAATGACAAAATCATCCCTGTTTGATCAAAATCGGTTCAGAGACGGCTGAAATATCCATAAATATAACGATTTCAAATACTTGTGTACTACCACAAATATTCGATAATTTGACAAAACCGTTCAGGAGAAAACAAAGTAGCGCCTTTTACGTCATATTTCAGCCAATGCCGATGTTGGCTTTTTTGTTGGCTTTTCGTATTGCTTATATTACGTACAACCAGCTGACCCACATTGTTATTTTTTAATTAATTTATTAATTAACGGTCACCGTATTTTGTTGGAAGTGGGGCTGAGTTGGTATGATCGTATTGGCTAAATTTTACACATTTTGGGGTCTAAAATTACCTTCATAGCAATTTTAGGTTCTAAAAGGCACTAGACATATCATAGATAAGAATATAAGCAATAAGCGTGATATACCACAGGGTACTGAAATAGACAATTTTCATTATGTAATTGTATTTGATGCACAAAATCTTTGTTAAGTGCCTCGTTACGAATTGTTTCATTAATCTGCTACAAATAATTCTTTTTCAATAGTCAGAATGCAAATTGCATACATTAATTGTTGATAAGTAGGACAAACATTATGACTTGTCCTACCTAAAAAAAGAAAAAAAAACACGTCATCGACCCCCCCCCCCCGATCATGCACCACTGAGAAAGATTGATATAGGGGGAGGGGGAGGTAAACAGAGTCCAGACTTACGTAGCTATCAAGGCATGTCGCTGTGTTCCATCCATGATTGCATCTCACCCAGGGGAGCTCATTACCAATGCACGAACTGTACAGGTAGTACAGGGTCCAGGCCAAGATGACATGTTGGTACATGTAACGCCACCAAACAACGACAGTGGTGGCGACACCAATACCTACGATGATCAAATTAAAGATGTGTTCAGAATTGGCGCGGTAAACGGCCACAAAAGGAGCAGCCCCAGGTTTTGTTACGTGTAAAATGAATGGCAATATACGCGCAACAAAGGGCTTGCGCGTATTCACTGAGCTCTAAGATAGAGAAATGTGAAGTGCACGTACACTTAAAAATAAACTTGAGTTCAGGGCCCCGTCTTACAAAGAGTTACGATTGATCCGTATCAATCGCAAGTCCTCCAATCAATCGCAAGTTTGCAGTCTCCTATCTCTTATGTACATAGTTACGATCGATATCAATCGCAAATAAGTTGCGATTGATATCGACTCTTTGCAAGACGGGGCCCTGCCATGTGATTGCATAGTGAAACGTTGTGGAATAGATCAGAAAAGGTTGATCATCTAGCATATAATTATTGGTGTGTACTGCAAGGTTCTGGAATCATCAAAATGATGAGAAATTTGGCCCAGTCTTGGTTAAGATACAAGCACTGTACACAGAAAGATGTATATGGGACTACACTAACATGTGGCATAAAAATCTGTCCCGATTTTTATGATGGTACATGCCATATTCAGAATATTAAGGCTTTTGAAGAGCCATGCTTTTCAGGGAACAGTTCTTCCACACTTGCATAATACAATCATAACGCTCACAAATTATTTGTAATCTCTTCCCAGAACTCAACCTTTTCTTTAACGTCATCACTGAACGAAAAAAAACAAAACACACACACACACACACAAAAACCCTGCAGTTTTGCCGCGTCATATGTAAACAAGCCTTTAAAGAATGAGCATTTAATGAAAGCGTTCAACATTTATATTTTAAAACACACTGTGTACAGTATACGTAGTGTTAACATACATCGCATGTATTTTGACGCATCGGGAAACCACGTTTTTGCCATCTCGGCTTTTCGTGGTCTCCCATTACTATATTATTTGTTATAACATGTAGATATATGTTTTGCTAGTTGTTTCAGAAGTGGAAATAAAATTCATTACTATATGTTTACCTTGGAAAAGTGGGCATATTTTCCAGGCTCTGATGGGACCCGAGGAGGTGTATTGACCGAGTGCCGTCTCCAAGAACATGAGCGGAATCGCAAGAAACACGAAACATAGTAAATATGGGATGAGGAAGACAACTGTGGAATAAGAATACAAATAAAAGTGTCACGAAACTATACTACTACTCAGGGGCGGCGATCCCGGGGGATACGGGGGAGGGGGGGGGGGGGGACGTCCCCCAGAAAATTTGAAAAGGTGCACACAAAAAATGTATAATTAATACTGACTAAAGACTGCAACACACTTTTAGGCCTTGGGGGCCCAAGAGTGCCGCGTTTAGACTAATACAAATACACAAATCTTCTTATTCGGTCGCTATGCTCCCTCCCTCAAAATGAACAAGTAGTGGAGAAAATCTGTATTCCGTAGGTGTCACGTAAGCACAGTTTACACTGTATGTTTACAAGATTAAGAGTTATAAAAATAGATCAGTGCTACAAACATGAATATTCCGCTTGCTCCTTTAAGAATTCAGTTTCTGCCTACTTACTAAAATGAACCAACTAAATATTAAACAAAAAGTACTCTTCGGACTGCACACTTAATACCGGCAAAGTAAAGCGTTGGTCACAACCCACCCTGAGTGTTTTTAGTCCGTCCCCCCAGAAAATTTGAAAAGGTGCACACAAAAAATGTATAATTAATACTGACTAAAGACTGCAACACACTTTTAGGCCTTGGGGGCCCAAGAGTGCCGCGTTTAGACTAATACAAATACACAAATCTTCTTATTCGGTCGCTATGCTCCCTCCCTCAAAATGAACAAGTAGTGGAGAAAATCTGTATTCCGTAGGTGTCACGTAAGCACAGTTTACACTGTATGTTTACAAGATTAAGAGTTATAAAAATAGATCAGTGCTACAAACATGAATATTCCGCTTGCTCCTTTAAGAATTCAGTTTCTGCCTACTTACTAAAATGAACCAACTAAATATTAAACAAAAAGTACTCTTCGGACTGCACACTTAATACCGGCAAAGTAAAGCGTTGGTCACAACCCACCCTGAGTGTTTTTAGTCCGTACGGTTTTTGGGGAGGACACGGCCGCCACGGTTTCTGAAAACGTAGGGAGGGAGTGGCAAAGGCAGGGAGGGCGTACTGGCAACGCACGTGGCCCGCACGCCACGCCTAGCCGTGAGCGGTTGAGTACATAGTACGTTGCGCACGTGGTAAGTGGGTATGTACGTGCTTACAACGTGCTTACAACGTACGGTCTCCATGCGGTTGCCACGTTATCGTACGGAGGCCGTACTTACACGTGCTGCTCACGTACAGTGTCCTTACTCACTCACACGTTGTAAGTGCGTGCACATGCGATAAACTCGGTGAGTTTTTCCGCCCGATGACGGGGTATATATATTGGACGACATTCCGATGTTCTCCAGAAGTCCCAGCTTTTGCTGCCTCAAGATGCCGCCCATTCCACCGTAGAGACTATCATATAACTCCTTTTAGTCTCATTTCACAACGCCCCCTATTCGCCAGAGTCCAGCGGCATAACATGTACGTTAGCCTATGGACTTTTACACACAAAAATCGTTAAAAATTCATTTTTTGTTTAAACGAAAAGCACATCCATCCCGACGTACGTTATACTAGCTCTTTCATTGGAACCCTCATGTCCCATTGACTATTGAAAGTTTACCCACCGTAATTTGATCAAAATAGGTCGCAAGCTTGCCATTGCCAATATAACACATGTACAACAAGTCGAACTTTGGACTCAATTTACCACGCGATTATAAGGTTATAAGTCAAGCACACGAAGGATAAGAAGCATGCATTATCATTGATCAGTTCTGATTTGTTCATTATGTCCATTTCGTCCAACCCCCTACCGTAATTTTTCCATTTAGTATAGGCAAGCATTTTGCCGAGGTAAGCAAAAACACTTATATTCATGACCACCATGGACTATTCGATTATTAACGGAGGGGTGCAATTGTACACCACATCAAACTCCCGTACTTTCAGTCAAGTATTTCATTGTATTATGTAGTTTGGTAGCTTTATCTTACTAACTGTTTAATTATCAGATATCAATGATAGTTTAAAGATATGGAAAAGATTCTTGTATTTTATATTTAGCAAAGCAATCTCACATACAAAATCACTATCAAATGTCGTCTAATCCGCCGAATGCAGTCTGCTATATACGCGAACTAGCCTACGATTGTGCTGGCGAAAATGAGACAACCGTAGCAATATGTATGATTTTGTTCATTATTTCATCATCCAAGCTGATTTATTCTTGTTAAAATCTGTAGTAGATATGGACTCACTTGGCTTATCCATGTCAGCCGTTTATTAAATTGTATTATGCCTGTTAAAATTCTAATAATGTCAGCTACCATTCTATAGAATAAGTTGCCGTAAAGTACATTGATGATGAGTGGTATATTGCATCAAGGTTACTACCAGGATAAATTTGATTTTACTATTTGAATCTTAGGGGAGAAAATTGGCAAAAAAACTAGCAAGGTAGATATAATTTTATGAGAAGGTCTTTTCCTGGTTACCAGGTCGGTTTCTTCTACCAGCATAACAAAGATCAAGAGAATAGAGAGATATCTGAGAGTATCGATTGCAAGGTTGCTTAAAGCCCCAGTCCCATATAAAGCCGGACCAGCACGGACGAGCACGGACCACTCCGGACCATCCCGGACCATGGTCTGGGGTGATCCGGGATGGTCCGGGATGTTTTGTTCAAAAAAGTGTGATGCTTTAAAAGCTACAGTCCCATATACGTCCCGGACCGTTCCGGACCATCCCGGACCCCATCCGGGGTGATCCGGGATTCGGTCCGTGTTGACACCGTGTTGGCACCGGGGTGGTCCTGGATGGTCCTGGATGGTCCTGGATGGTCCTGGATGGTCCTGGGCGGTCAATAACTCACTCCCGGACTGCCACGGATCAACACGGACCGCCCCGGCGCCACTACGGATGACCCCGGACCCAGCACGGTGGCTACACGGATCACCCCGGATCAAACTATTGTCCCGGACCGTCCCGGACCACCCCGGCAGTTTTTGACCGTCAAAAACATCCGGGGTCGACTCCCGGACCGCCCAGGACCATCCAGGACCATCCAGGACCATCCAGGACCACCCCGGTGCCAACACGGTGTCAACACGGACCGAATCCCGGATCACCCCGGATGGGGTCCGGGATGGTCCGGGACGGTCCGGGACGTATATGGGACTGTAGCTTTACCCTCAAGTAGGTATTATTTCATGATGTTCGACAACTTGACTTGTAATTCTAAACGCGTGTGTATCGTGAAATTATCACTAGAACATAATGGAAACATGTCAACGCAAAGCGTAGCGTCCCTTCGGCGGGTGCAAATGGCCTATATACGTCAGAACAAGTTACCTCCATTATTTAGACTCGTGATTGTCCCTACTTACGCGTATATCCGCGTACATCTATGTGAATTAGTAACATGATCGTTTAACTTATGAAAAAACATCATTGTAATTTACATTGGTCGCTAAACATGCACCAATAATTACCGGGGCGCCGCGGTTTTAATTGTTGGCGCGCCGGAGCCAGGGTATTCGCTAAGGGGAGGGGGGGGGGGGGGGGAGGGGCGAAACAGTTGACAGGGGGGGGGGGGGTCCTCAGCTAAAATCATGGGACAAGGGCGAACTTGTGAATAATAAATAAATAAATAAATCCTCCCATTCATTTTTTTTGGGGGGGGGGGGGAGCAAGAGGGCGATTGCGTTTTTCTATTGTCTTTTATTGTTTGTTTGGGGGCCTGATCCATGCATAGTCTGATAATCATTTAATG